GGCACCTTCCTGCAGCACCAGAGCGTGCACGGGTCGGAGGTCGCGCCCTGAGGCGGGTGCCCGGTACCGGGAGGGAGGGGAAGACCGGGCCCGACCGAGCTCTCCGGCGGCGGACGAGAAGAGGCTGACTGTGGGAGCGGGTCCGTCTCGGAGGCGGGTACCCGGCGGTCCCTCTCCTCCGGGATCCGCAGCTCCCTGCCGGAGCGCCCGTCTCGGACCGCGGCCCCCCTCCTGATCTTCTTCCTCTTGCCTCCGAGCCGGGAGCCCACCTTTCCCGCTTTCTCCGCCTTCCGTGTCTCGCAAAATCCACCGGGCCACAGACAGCGCGGCCCCGAAACGGATCCCTTAGAGCCGATCGATCCCATCTCGTCTGGGATCGTCCAGGGAACGGGCCCCGAGCTGTCTCCCGGCTCCCAGCTGAGCGGAGGCTGGGTACGGATCTCTCCCGCTGGAGGGTTCTGTTCCAGGCGCGCTCCTGCCTTCATTCCTGTCACTCCTCCCAGACAGCCCCTAGGGAAGGGAGAGACCCTGTTCCTCCGAGAACAGGAGAGAATCCGTCATCCTTAAACCAAAGAGAATTCCATTTTCCCGATCTCCTGCCAAGCGTGGGAGAGCCAGGGGTCCTGTGTTACTATCGGGTGTTCTCTGGTCGGAGCAGAGGGCTTTGGAGCCTTTTCCTGGGAGCCAGGTGATAGTGGGGATTTTGTATGTTTGTACATAAGTAGGACGTTGGACCAGTTTTGGCAGCCCAAGAGGATTTTTTCACTCTAGTTTTTTGTTCGAAGGAGGTGTTGGTATGAAAGGTTTAGTGCTTGTGATCCCTTGATTTCACACACTGATTTCTGTCCAACAACAAAGCCCCACCTATCTGCTTCCTGTGAAGAGTCACCACAGCCTGGAGGATCATAGCCAGGTTCCCATAAAACATGTATCTGAGGCCCAGAAACGTGCTTCTGGAGACATGCTGTATACTGTGAGTTAGCGTTAACGCTCCTGGTCTAACAGGACTGGACCTGAACCACTGGACCAGCTGTCCTCCTGGTGTGACAGGACTGGACCTGAACCACTGGACCAGCTGTCCTCCTGGTGTAACAGGACTGGACCTGAACCACTGAACCAACTGTCCTCCAGGTCTGTCAATCCCTGCCTCACAAATGATATGTAAATGCAAGTGTATTTTGGATTAGAAGTAGGGGGCACTTTAGTATAGAGTTGTCAATATTTGGAGAGCTGTGAATATGCAGACAAGGACAAGGGATTAGCTCAACAGGCCACAAAGAAAGTGAAATCCTGTTTGCAGTGTGATGCGGTACATCTGTGGTGATAATGGACATCATTCAATTTGCCTCTTTAACAGAGACTGGTTTCTTGTACAAACTACTGTAGGGAAATAGGGAAATGGTTACAAAGACGTACTGTTACAGGATAAATCTAACTTTATATGTGTAATTTTTTATTTCATAATAAACGCACTTGTGAGATATTTAATTTTGTTAGTCATAGATGTTTCTTTCCTATACACACTGCAGGTTCTTATTCATATGAGTACTGTAGCTCAGACTACTCCACTTGTGCCATTTGCCATTAGGGTGTAACACCAAAAAGCATCCCCCTACTACTTCCTCTTGTGATATGGGAATTATGGGTGTTGTCTGAAAGACCCATAGATCAAGCTTAACTTTAGCCCTTACCTCCACTCTAGCTCTAACCCTGACCTCGATTGTAATTCTTTACATCTAACCCTTGCTCCCCCAGCAAGACCAACAGTCTCTCTGGACCTTACCCCAAATCTGGACTTGATCTTAACCTCAATACCAGCTTCATCCTGAAGGCCTGACCTCAGTTGGTAGTCAACCTCAACAGTAGTCCCAGACACTTATCCGAATCCCAAATCTAATCCTGAAGCTAACCCCAACGACCTCAACAAAGTTACTCTGACTCACTCCTAACAGGAATCCCAGCCCTAACTCCAACAGCAGCCTTAGTCCTAGCCTTATTCCGAGGGCTAAACTTCACCCTTTAATCTTTATCCGATCATTGACCCTAAGGGAGGTCTGAATCTCAAGTCGGCAGGAGAGCCCCAAATCCAGATAGAGTTTATAGGTCGCCATTAATCACCTCCTCCCATGATCCCCATGACTAGGAACTCTAATAAGGTCAATTAAGCAATCAAGTAATTGGTGCAATGAAGGGAACTCTGGTTCTCCAGGGCTGAGGGGAACTCCCAATTTGTGATCCATATGATCTCCAAATGATCAGTCAACGTTACCTGATTTTACTGACTGCACACTTGTTCCAGATCTTGTGAAACTGATGATTAAATGATTCTTTATAAAAGGAATGCCATGATCTGGCAGGAAGTCTGAGTCCCTCAGAGTAAACTGAAACCTAAATACCAGGAAAACCCAGCCATTCCTGGGAAGTGGGGCCGAATGGTAAGGTTATCCTGCCTTGTCACCAAGTATGGTCTGGTCTGGTCTCAGACGCCCAGCAAGTCTGGGGCTGGTCAATACTGGGCGAGAGAGACCGAGGGAATCAGGCCACTGGATTGTGTGTGAAGTGCTATTGGTGGACCAGTAGGTGGCATTCTGTTAGGAGAGTTTGCAGATCAAACGGAGCCTGTTTGCCCTTCTCTCTGGACTGGACCAAACCAGAACCCCAGTCCGGGAGCGCTGTGCTGTGGGGAGGGGGCTGGTCCTGTTATGAGAGGTAAAGTCTCGGGTCATTTCAAGTCCTTTCCTTAAAAACTAGGGGCTGCCGACTACCCCATCCCGGCGAGGAAGAATTTTTGCACTTACCTTTTAAGCGTACGAGATAGATCCTATTCGTTCTTGCTAGCATGCTTTTTCTGCCTAGCGACAGTAAGAAAGAAACAGCAGGCACATTGTTTGATCTGCTGGTGCTCTAACCACACAGTGCTTCAGCTGAGCTGTGCCTCTTCTATTTGTATACTTCCTTCAGACCAAGTGAAAGGTGTAATTTCATTTCTGAGGAATAACGTGGTCAGTTAGAGAGAAGTACTTGGGTACTTGAAGTAATGAGAAAAACAACTCCTAATCTGGAAAGGTCGAATGAGCTACGCTGCCCTGAACCTGCTGTGAGACCCGCTGCCTTTGACATCATCATCAGAGGCTGCTCTCAGATCTGTAGGACTGTATCCTCTCCATGCGCTTGCATAAAGGCTGGAAGAAGGATCATAACTGGTTGACCAGTGTAGGGCTTGAACCCACAACCCTGAGCTGGAGCTCGGTGGAGTGGGCAGTGAGGTGGGGGTTGCAGAGGCAGGCGGGGCGGATCTTGAAATAGGTGGGGTCTCAGGGTAAACACAGAAACGGAAAAGGAGCCGTGAGCTACGAAAACCCAGCTCTCTCGATTTACAACACGAGGCAGAAATAACCCAAACCGCAGAGAGAAAGGCCACAGCTCTTCTCCGAGCTTCCAGCTAGGCCTCGGTCTCTCTCCGCAGCGCAGCCGAGCAGCTCCAAACAGGTTTCCCTCCCAGACTGACCCAAGAAACTGAAGCTCATCACTTCCGTCTGCTCCCTTCTTCCTCTGGTCCAGCACATAGCAGAGACGCTGCCCACTTCCAGGTTTTAACTCTTACCCTCCCAGTTATGTTCCACCGGTTGGTCAGGTGACTAAAGGATGGCAGGTCATTTCCTGTTGCATTCTGGGGAACGTGGTGAAGAGAGGAACCACCATCTTGCCTGCACATACAGCCCTCTTCCTGGGTATGAACAGTGTTAAAGGAAATATTAGGCTACATCTGGAGCTGTCAATCTGCATGAAGCAAAACATAGTGGTGTCAACCTGGGCAAAGTGCCCATTGAAACCAGATGGTGCCAATAACAGGAACTGGTACCACACTGAAGTTGTGCTGAGACAGTCGAGGGCTTTTTGCTCAAGGCAAAAGCAGTACCTAATAAGGTAGCGATCGTGCTGAGCTGTACCCGACTGCTGAAGGGATCTCACGCTGGGGGCAGCACGGTGGCACAGTGGTTTGTACTGCTGCCTGGCAGGGCTGGAGTCCTGGGTTCAGTTCGGGACTTGACCGAGGTCCTATCTGTGTGACCTCTGACCCTGTACTGGGCGGATGGAGGGATGGAAGGATAGATCTCATACACGGTCTGTGTGGGAGAGTGAGGCCCCTGGCCCAGCGGGTGTTCTGCTGGACACTCTACACACTCACACCTCCATGGGTTGCTGCTGTGGTGCCAGCGGACCTGTACCCTCTTATCACTGGCCGAAGAATCCAGGTGCACTGCTGTGAGGATCATGAAGATGTCTTCCACACCTTGGCCTGGGGTAACCATCACTTTACATTCAGAAGCAAAGACTTCTAGGTCCCTTTCGGATTTTGATTCCTCTACAACTTCCAGGAACTCCTGTTAATTCGTTTGCTTGAAGGGGTTTGGATGAACAACAACTGGGTCTGCGTCACTTCAGAAACAGGATGGAGTTGCCCTTGTCCTACACTCTTCTCCCATTCCTTTCCCTGTCCCTATCTCCCACTTGTCCATCCTTGTCCCATATTTCTCCTTCTCCGCTTGTCTCCTCCGTTTCTATCCCTGTGGTCCCGATTCCTCTTTTTCCTGCCGCCATGGACAAGTCTCTCCGACCGTCTTTCTCATTTCTTTTCCTCCGCCTGTACCCCACGTCTCTCCGCCCGCATTGCCGATTCCTCTTGCCCGGGCTGCGGCCCCTTCCCAGCTCGTCCCACATGGTGCCGTGTCATCCTCTGGAGTCGCAGGCAGGTGAGCCTGTCGGGTTCTGCTCTCGGCGGAGGGTTTGGAAGGAACACGCCACCTGTGATCTGGTCAGCACAATCCACCTGTGAAACCTGCAGCAATACGTGGTCCAGCTCATTAAGGAATATTATTACAGTTCTATGAAATGATTAGAGAATTAGTGAGTTCCATATCATGGATTCCATAGGGGTTACTCATCTTAAAATCGTTGAGAAAGGCCCAGGATACCTTGTAAAGTAGTGGCAGACCAGACCTCTGCGTCTGTGTGCTATGTTATGAGACAGAAGAGTAAGCAACCTAGGTGATATGTCAATTCAGACAGCCTCAAGAGTGTACAATCCCCAGGTCACAATCCACCACCTTCGCCCCCATGATCCCATGTGGGAGATCCTGGAAAGTTGCTGTCAGACTGCTGACCGGTAGCCACTGCGCAGGCCGTGTGGACTCTTGTGAGCCGCGTGGACAAGTGGTGTTGAGTGAAATCCATGTCTAAGCGATGCAGCTGGAGCCTCTGTGTGAGGAGTTCTCCAATATTTGGGGAGAGTACCTTGTGATCTCCTGCAATCCACCCATCCATCCATTTTCCAACTGCTGTATCCAGTACAGAGTCGTGGGGGAGCCACAGCCTGGCTGGAAGGTTGCCGGTTCGTATCCCTCACTTTCTCCCTCTAGCGTTCTGGGCTCATTCTCTGTCCTGTTGGGAGCGGTTCTGACACCTCGCACACTCGGGTTCGTGTCTGAAGCCCGCTGTGCTGCCCCATTACCCCCCATGGGGCAATGACTCCTTCTTGGCCAATCGGTGGTCTCCTCAGGTTCGAAAGACCAGGATGTCTCCTTGGGTGCTTCTGTCTCTCAGGAGAGGTTTTCCAGCTGAATCCGTCCGGAGACTGCCTGGCCTGGATGAATACCCGGAGGAGCTGCAGGCTTGGAACTAGGATAGT